CATGGACTAAGTTCCCTTTGGATGATAGCGCTTAAGTTTAAGGCCGGTTGAAGCAAGTTTGACTCTAACTTGTTTAGAGAAACAAAATTAAATCCGGCACACTCTTTAACCACCATCGTTAGTAAGAAATCGCAACATGGGGTAAACAGAGAGCAGAATGAAACATGAAGCGATATCTCACGCAATTTTGTCTTTTTGTAATTACTCAGGATCATCAATACTCAGCAAAGAATTGAAATAAAAATGGATTACAACAATGTTCCTCATAAATTTACTTCAAAGATTTCAGCTAAATTGAAAGAAATGAAACTGATATTATTACGTGCACAAAGTAAGGACATGCTTTGGACAAAGGAATATGCCTGCTTTGATTCATTTAGTGCCAAGAATAGAAATTAACATAAGTAACTCGGAGGAAAGAAAAAAAAGAAAAACTGAATTTGACATGCTCGCTATTTTAAGTTATGATTAATAAATAGCTGTTTTACAGCTAAACCAATGGTACATTATTGAGATAATAGAAATTCGCCATTCGATATTTCATTTAAGTACGAAAGAACACTTACGGAATTATGAAGAATGTATTTCTTTATGATTCTTGTAAGCTGATTATCAATAGATTTATCTGCGGCCAGCTCTTATAATGAATTATGCATGTTGTATACTCTTGGAATATTCTATGAAGGCAGATACTACTCCACCAGTATAGAATATTCACGTTTTTATGCACTATGCTTACGAATTTGAAGTCAAGATAGACTCCCTATGGCAAAAATAAGACCGAGTAACTGTTTCGATAAATTTGTTATGTAAACAACGAGAATTAACGAAAGCATATCGTCCACTAAACGTGATCGCTACTGGACGATTTGTGGGAACCGCGGTAAAGGTAAGATTTACGTAAGCTTTTAGGTAAACTATGATTAGGAGCGGAATAACTTACCTGGGGCTTGAGAATTACGTCACCAAAAGGTGAAAACAGTATTCAACAATATACAGAGGGTATCCAAGAGTAAAATTTTTTACCGGGCCGGATAAGTGTTCTCTTAGCCACGCAAAACTTTCTGACGTGTGATTGGGCAGAGGGCTATATCTTTTGACATGCAAGCTTGCGGGCTCTTGTAGCATTCAAAATGATATGTCAACGCAGGGTGAGAGAAAACAATAAGGTTGAAAACCATGAAATTACAAGGAAATCATTATTCGAAGAATTAAAAGATACTTTTCTGACGAAACAATTTCGTTATGATGTGCAGGAGGAAAGATCTGTATCTTGAGGCAGTAACAATAAAAAATAAAACAAGTGAGTTTACAAACGGTATTATTTGCAGAGTATGTTATGGTAATTCTCAGGTAATAAAAATTGAATGACAATTCCATAAAGTGCTTGATTCATGTCAGTTACAAACTTCAAAATAAAGATGCATGAAAGTAATAAGAGCATTGATGTCAAAAGAAAAATTTCCAAATTAAACTATAGACTCCAACTTCTCTATCACTGTTATGATGCTTTCCTTTTTTACTTTTTTTTTTCGTTTAAGAATGTTCGCATATGTCTTTTTAACCCTCGTGCAGAATGTGTCAGTGCAAAAATGTAGTATTTAAAATCAAGGTGAATCTTTTGATCGAAGTAGCTTCTCGGTTAGTTCGTTTCGCTGGCTGGAGACAGCCGTTCTTTCTTGCAAATCGCACTTCAAAATCGCATCGAGTGCAGCCTAAAGTAAACACGGCAAAAATGTAAGCGTCATTCTTTCAGTTCACTTTTTTCTTTTATTTAGTTATATTTTAAAGTTTTGTGTTTCGTAACTTTCTAATTTAGTTTTAACCAATCTTGAAATATTTAACCGTAAAACGAAGTAGACGCCAGGGCAGAATATTACATAGAGCGCGTTAAAACTTCCTTTCTTTACGGGGAGAACAACAAAAATATCAACTGAGAGCTTTCGCATTAGAAACGCGTTTAATTTATTGTTCCGTGTTTATTTTGTAAGTAGAGATTTGACAGTAAAA